AAAGAAAGAAAGAAATAAAGAAAGAAAGAAAGAAGAAAGAAAGAGAGAGAAACTGGACCCTTGTCTCTCACCATTATCAAGAATCAACTTAAATTGGATCAAAGATTTAAATTTAAAGCCTCAAATTATAAAACTAGTAGTAGAAGAACCAGCAAATGGTGTAGTGGTTACATCACTGGACTCCCACATGGCCGACCATGATTTGAATGTTGGACCCAGTAGTTTGAAAATCATGCCACATGCGTGTGCACCCAAGATCCCAGGAGTAGAATGGAAAAGAAGGAATTGAGGTGTGGCCATGCCCCCTAGGAAGTTATTTCTGACTTTCACTCTCACTGTCTCTCTCTCTCTCTCTCTCTCTGGTGAGTGCATGAGCTCTAAGGCAAAAAACCTTTCAAAAACACAAAACAAAACTTCTAGTAGAAAATATAAGGGAAACTATTGAAGACATTGGAGTAGGCAACAATTTCTTAAATGAGACCCCTAAAGCACAGCTATGGTCCCCAAAATAAGCAAGTGGGATTACAGCAAGCTAAAAACACTTCCTCACAGCACAGGAAACAATAATTTGAGTGAAAAGACAACCCTCAGAATGGGAGAAAATATTTTCAATTTTTTCTCCAGACAAGAGATTGATATCCAGAATATATATGGAACTCAAGCATCTTACCTAAAAGATATAAGAGGAATAATAATAATCCAATTAAAAGTGTGCAAATGGGTTGAATGTACAACTCTCCAAGGAAGAATTATGAATGGCTAAAAGGCATACCAAAAAAAGATGTTTAAAGGGAACCAGCAGTTAGTGTAATGGCTATGTCGTTGGACTCCCACGTAGTCGGCCGTGGCTCGTGTCCCGAACCCGGTGGCTTAAATCTCACGCCGGGCGCGTGTGCGTGCATGCCCAAGATCCCGAGAGGAGAATGGAGGAGAAGAGTTTGTGGCGTGACCATCCCCCCTGGGGGGTGATTTCTCGCTTTCTGTCTCTATGTCTCTCTCTGTCTGTCTGGCGCGCGCATGCGCCCTATAGCAAAAACCTCTCCAAAAAAAAAAAAGAAAGAAAATTTTTTTAAAAAAAAGATGTTTAAAGTCTCCTGTTATAAGGGAAATGCAACTTAAAACCGCCACAACCACTTTCCCCCAGTTAGAGTAGCAAGAATCAAAATAATAATAATAATAATGACAAGTGTAGCAAACCCATGGTGAAAAAGAAACCTCTTACCCTGTTTGTGGAAATTTTAATTAGTGTAAATTTTGTGGAAAACAATATGGAGACTCCTCAAAAACCCACAAATAGAACTACCATATGATCCAGTCATTCCACTTTTTGGCATTTGCCCAAAGAATAGAAAAACACTCAATTGGAAAGACACTTGATATCCACGTTTCCTCAGCATTATTTACAACTGCTAAAACATGAAACCAGTCTAGGTGTCCAAAAACTGATGACTGGGCTGGAGGAACTGTGGCACGTCATTCAGCTGTAAGAAACAATGAGATCCTATCATGTGTTCAAAGTGGATGAATATAGAAGACTATGCTGAGTGAACTGAGCCAGACTTTGAAAGATACACACTGTATATTCTCACTCAGTTTGTACCAAATATCTTTACCTCTGGCAGAAATAGGAAGATCTGAAGACATGATAGTAGGATAAGAATAGGTACCAGAGACTGAGACTGTAAGAGAGGGAGTGGATGGTAGGGAGTGGGTGGTAGAGGGTGGGTGTGAAGTACAAAGGGAAGAAGCATTTAACAGACAAAGAAATGTAAAGATCTGTGTTTATTTTATATATTATATATATATATATATATATACACATATACATACATATATAATATCATGAAGGGACTTTATATAAAATGGGAAATTAATCTGAAAATTTATAAAAGAAAAAAAAGCAGGTGTAAACTTAATCCATTTATGGTACTAAGAAGTGGGAGACTCATGATTAAATTTTGATAAGTTTATGAATAATAAAAGGGAGAGAGACCAAAGCAGAGAAAAGACACAGGTATGCTTTCTAAAAAATATTTCCTGCTTTATTTTTTCCAGAAAGAATAAAATATGCTAAGAATAGTTTAAAAAACACATTTTTTATGTATTTTCTGGAGAATTATTTATTTATTAAATATGCAAAGTAAAATTGCTCTTAAAGTATATAATTTACTACAGAGCAGATGAATGAATCATATTGATTTTTTGAAAAGACTTTAATATTTATTTTGTTTTGTTAGTACTTAAGACACTATTTCACTTGGAAAATGTTTTATTTTCTTTTTTTTTTTTTTTTTTTTGCCGTCCCCCTTATCTTTTTCTGCAGTCACCTTTGTCTTTTGCTTGACAATAAAACTTTATTCTTTTTAAAAAATAATTCCTCAAACCTCAAGTCCCAGGGTGGGTAATGCTAGAATGTGTGGTAAGCCAATCTAAATATGCATAAGTAAACGAATATGTAAATGCAAAAAAAGATGGCAAGTTTGTTATGTGATTTTACCCAAATAACAAGCAAATAAAAACTCTCCTGCACACCCACCAGGAGAGGACAGAAGGGCCGACCCTTGGCAGGACAGTGTCCCAGCTCCAGGCCTGACCAATGGGGCGTGCAGAAGTACATTCGGATGCCCTGGGGGATGTGCCTGCCAGAGACCGACAGTGTAGTGTGCCAGATGGCAGCTGAGGAGGGGCTACCTGGGCTGCGGGGAGAGGAGGCCCGGGGCTCATCCTGTCGCCGCGTCCCTCATTCAGCCATGGACAGGGCAAGGCGGCAGCGTGCGCTCACCCTCCTCCCCATCTGCCTCGCCCTCGCCTTCTCCCTCATTGCTGTGGGCAGCAGCTACTGGTGTGAAGGCACCCGGCAGGTGACAAAGCCTCTGTGTCAGGACCAGCCCGGAGGGCCACACTGCATTCACTTCAGAAGTGACGGTGGGGACAACGGAAGTCAAGCTGTCCAGTACATTTGGGAGATGGGGGCTGACAAGTTCATCCAATGCAGGGTCCACGTGGGGCTCTGGCAGTCCTGTGAGGAGAACCTCAACAGCGCAGGTGAGTGCAGCCCCCAGGGGACAGGCGAAGGACAGTGGCCACCAGCAGGGGCTCTGGAGCCAGGCCACTTGGGTGTGAATCCCAGCTCTGCCACTGACCATGTGAGTAGCCTGGAGCGAGTCCTTTCCTCTCTCTGAGCCTCAGTTTTCTCGTCTATAAAATGAGAGCAATGGCAATACTTACTTCCCAGAGTTATTGTGAAGGTTAAATGACTAGATTCACATAAAGTGCTTGCAATAGTGACTAGACACCTTGCAAGTTTTTTTTTTAGAATTATTTATTTATTTTTATTTATTATTATTACTTTTTAATTTGAGCAGAGAATGAGAGAGAGGGAAATTGAGAAAGCAAGTCGCCTCCAGGTTAGTGCCTGTGGTCCTAGCCACAAGCATGTGCAGACGCTGCAGCAGGTCCAGGACTCAAACTGTGGTGAGCCATGTGGGAGTCCCGTGCCTTAACCACCATGCCACCACCTACCAGTCCCAACTGTGTTTTTAAACCTTGGTGTTTACCATTTGTTATTGTTGCCCAATTTCTGGTATTTGAAATCCTCTGACAATTAAATGATGCACCCGTTTTATTTTTCTTGTACTTGAAATGAGCTTGGAGAAAATCTTTCAAAAAAGAATTTTTTGTCTCATAAAGAATGGAGGATTGGGACCAGCAGATGGTATAATGGCTATGTCATTGGACTCCCATGTAGTCAACTGTAGTTTGAGTCCTGGACCCGGTGGCTTAAACTCACACCAGGCGCTTGTGCGTGCGTGCCCAAGATCCCGAGAGGAGAATGGAGGAGAAGGGATTGTGGTGTGGCCATCCTCCCTGGGGGGGTGATTTCTCTCTTTCTGTCTCTATGTCTCTCTGTCTTTCTGGCAAAGAAAAGAAAAGAAAAGAAAAGAAAAGAAAAGAAAAGAAAAGAAAAGAAAAGAAAAGAAAAGAAAAGAAAAGAAAAGAAAAGAAAAGAAAAGAAAAGAAAAGAAAAGAAAAGAAAAGAAAAGAAAAGAAAAAAAGAACGAAGGAAGAGGAAACATGACTCCTCCGTGTTAGGCAGCCTGGCCACACGTCCTTGTGCAGGGCTAGAGCGCTCTCCTCTTCCTGCCTGGGAAGCAAGACTCCAGGAGCAGAAAGGGCAGGGCGCCCCACCCATCTCATTTCCCTCCTGACCTCAGGCTTATTTCATTACACTTCTTTTACAACTTTTTCTACATTTTCTAGTTGCCTTTTCCTAGACTCTCTAATTGCCTTCTCCCTTTTTAAATAGTATTTATTTTACATTTTTTATTTTATTTTATTTTTAATTTCCAGGGGGGCACATGGCTTGCCAGAGAAAGAGAGAGAGACAGAAAGACACAGAGAGAGAGAGAGAGGGGAAGAAAGCGCCCCCACCCCACAGTGAGGCATGGTCATAGCGCCATCCCTTTTCCTCCATTTCTCCCCCCCATTGGCATTTGGGGCACACGTGCACATATGCCTGGCGTGTTTCTCAAGCCACTGGGGTCATGTGGGATCTGACTTCCTTAACCACTCGTCAATGGGGGTCAGCTCAGTGTTTGTCTTTTAATCCTGATGTCTAAAATAAAAGGCAGCAAGAACCAGATGCTGCCTGCCTTCCTCCCCCCACCCCCCCCACACCCCAGTGGTGGCACTGAGTGGCAGCACCCAGTTGTACCCTCCCACACCTCCAGGTCGGTGCCCGTAGCCTTGGCCATGAGCAGGTGCAGACGCTGCAGCGGCGCCTGGAGCTCAGGCTCCTCGAGGGCCCTCCCTGAGGCCTCCCTTCTCAGGGAAAGCTGTCCTCCTCTCAGTCCGCACTCTACCTCCCAGACAGATGCAGGAACTCAGGACCCTGACTCCTGGGAGGCTTCCTGAGACAGTCTGATTTTTGATTTGGAAACTATGGTCACTATACCCACAGGCAAACTACTTAGGAAACTCGACTCCCATCCCATGTTGCCATCTGGGGGCTGCCTACCCGTTTCCACAGCCCGCTATCAATGTCACGCTAGCTATCAAAAGTGAGCGTGAACTGGAATCACCCAGGGACTTGGTGAAAAACCCAGATGCCCAGCCTGAAGGTCCTAATTCAGTTTGTCTGGCTAGGGTCTAGAAAACTGCATTCTTTTCTATTTTTTCTAAACTTTTTAAAATTTTAAGTATTACCAAGGTTGCATGTACATGTAGATCAGAGATTGACTCATTTTGAACAGTTTATAAGAAAAACCAGCACTTTTTCCTATCCCTTTGGTCTCTATAACTTAGTTTGTATGTCTCTGTTCCTGTGTCTCTGTCTCCTTAGAGACCAAATATTCAAGCATGGAGACCCCATCCTGACACCCAATCACTTCCCCAGAACCATACGTTTCTTCCTTCCTTTCTTTCTTCTTTCTTAATTTTTGTCTTTCTTTTCTTTCTTTCTTTCTCTTTCTTTTTCTTTCTCTCTCTCTCTCTCTCTCTTTCTTTGTTCTTTCTTTTTCTTTCCCTCTCTCTTTCTTTCTTTAGCCAAACAGTGTATAAGAGAAAGAGAAAAGAGCTCATGCCAGTGGCTCAATGGGGCATGGCCAGTCGCACCACAGTCTTTTTCACTTCATTCTGTTCTGCCTTGTCCGTATTCTGGGCATGTAATACACATGTGCTTTGTATGTTTTTCAAATAAGCGGGACGAAGATTCGAACCACAGCCAGTCATTTGTATCAGGCTCCCTTACCCACTATGCCAAGAGGCCAGCCCAATGTCCAACCTTCCAAAACTGTATTCAGGTTAATTTTCTACCCTCTCAACATCTTTACAACGGCTCACCAAATTTCAGTACACAAATTTGGCAGGGGGGAAACACATTGAAGCCACAGCAGATGGACACTGAAGAAAAGGACACTCCAGGCACAGAACACCGAGTGAGCAAAGGCCAGAGGCAGCAGCCCCCAGCACGCTCCGTTATAAAATTTGCATTCTATAGCAAACCATCAAAACTGAGCCAGCTCTGTGGCCTGGTGGTGAAGGTGGCTGGACCCCACGTGCCCAACCATGTAGTTTGAGTTCTTGATCCAGCAGCTTGAGAAACACCCTAGGTGTATGTGCCCAAAATCCTTAAAAGAGGGAGAAATGGAGGAGGGATTGAGACATGACCATTCCCCATGGAGGGTGCTTTCTCCTGCTCCCCTTTCTCTGTTTCTCTCTGGCAGGTGTGCACGCTCTCCAGCAAAAATTAAATAAATAAATAAATAAAT